CCCAGATGTTGAGCTCTCTGACAGTATGATGGCCACACTTGCCTCCCAATCCACCCAGATGTTGAGCTCTCTGACAGTATGATGGCCACACTTGCTTCTGCATCCTGACTCCCACCCTCTCCAGTGACAACTGGCTCTTTCCAAAATGCACATGGGTCCCGTCCTTGCCACTGGATGCAATATTGATGTCTTGTCACAGGCTAGCCTTGGGCAGGGCACTCTGTGATCCCTAAAATGCTCCAGACCCAGTAAGAACAAGGACACTGTCCCTTGAGTCCTTGGTGCCGCTTGAGATAGGACAAACCTTGAAAAGGTTGGGAGAAAATACAGTTGGTTCTCCACACCCACAGCTCTGCTTCTGCCAATTCCACCAACTACAGATGGAGGATAATCAGGAGGAAACATGGCATCTGTATTGAACATATGCAGGCTTTTATCTTGTTGTTATTCCCTAAACAATCAGTATAACAACTATGCGCTCCGCGCTTATACTGTGGTACGTGGTATAAGTCATTTAGAGTTGATGTAAAGGATACGAAAGGAGGTGCGAGGTTCTATGCAAATGCGACATCCTTTTATAGAAGGAACTTGAGCGTTTACTAACGTGGTATTCTCTGGAGTACTAAAAACACTCCCCCAGCAGACGTCAAGGGATGGCCATATATGCACTAGCCACACCTTGTCGCTTGGGGTGCCTGCCCGCATATCAAGGCTCACAAGGTACAGCACATAGTTGCTGTTTCCTGAAGTCCTGCCTTCCCGGGCTCCCCCTCCGTGTGCAGCTCCTGTCTGGGACAATGCTCCCCAATTCTGTCTCTCTACCCTGCCCTTTAGAGATCTTTCTGGGGATTCCAAAGCTGGGAAATGGGTCCTAGACCCCCTTGAGCTCTGCCCCATAGCATAAACCCCTTGGGGCTGGGGAACGCTGCTAACAGTCTGCCTTCTTGGAACGGACAGAGAACAAAACAAGAACAAAAACACAAATCAATATTTCAATAAATTACCCTGCTGCGGCAGTGAAATCACCTTGTCTGCCAAGAGAGGCTGAGGACTGGAGCCCAGCACCGGGAAAAGATGGAATCAGCCAGTGTCCAATCTGCAACGCGGTGGGGTGCGCTGTCCACTGCAGGGTCAGGCCCTGTCTGCAAGCGTGGAGGGGGTCCTTCCCCGGAAAGATCTGCCTTTCTTCAGAAGTTCTTAAGAGTGGCTCGGGGAGAGGGGTGGCCTTTTGTCCTGTCCACCAAAGCCATTTCCACTCAAGCCAACCCAGCTATTGGGTCGGCAAGTGCTTGGGAATTGAACCCAGGTTTTTGGTGTTCCGAGCTGGCACTGTACCCACTGAGCTTGTAAACTTTACATTCAGTAGTAGACCCATCAGAGACATCTGGTCTGGCAAGCCTGGGCCTCTGTTCTTGAATGCCAGCCACGGGCCATTGTTCAGTGGCCATGACCCCTGAAGATACCTGAGTTTTCAACCTCTTCCCAGAACCTCTTGGGCGTGATGGGGACCTTCTGTCTGCATAGTATTGACCCATTTGCTCTCACCCTGCATCAACCTGGCTCCTGCCTTCCATCCTGTCGCCCTCCTGCTCACTGGTCCAAATTTCTGAGTCTATACTCCTGGCTGGACTCTTCAGTCTCTTCAAAGACTTGGCCGGAGCTCTTTTCCCACACTGGCGTGCGGCACGCCAATCATCTAGCTGCTGTCTCTCCCCGCCAGCCAGTGTCCTTGCCTGGCATGCTCGTGGTTCCCACAAAAGAGGGGTGGGGGTGTCGCTCAGAATTCTTTTGCATGCAAATGACAGTAACACACCTCCAAATCGCTTGACTCCTGCATGAGTCACGTGGGAAAGGTGGCCCGACAGTCCCCACGGCTGTGGTACGGTCGCCTCCCCTCTCGTAGGCTAGACTGAGATTGGTTAATGGACCGAGCCTTTGTGTTCAATGTGCATGCATTCTTTCATTGTCTCTTCAGCCATTAGTACTAGAGGAAGCAGGCCAATTGTGAGCTGCCTGGGTTGCATGATGAGGAACACCCTGCATGCACACACGCACCCTGCACACACGCACGCACGCACCTAACAGTCTAGGGCAAATGGGGTCCTGCTTCTAACCAAGGAGTGAGCTTGGTAGGGGGCTGGCCTGACCCCAAAGGAGACTTGAGATGAGTCTCCAACCCCACTCTCGGCTTGACAGTGCGGAAAGTCATGCAGGTGAGGGTGACCAGGAACCTTCCCCTCCATTCAGAAGAACAGAGCAGAATGGAAGGCAAGTCTTGGAAGTGACTCGGCAGGAAGCTGAGTGGCCCCCGGACCAGATCCCCAATGGCTGGGCTCTGTGAGCACAACTGTCTATTCACCCCTAGTAGTCTGCCAGATACCAACCCCATTCTTCTGTCTCTCTCCACCCACTGTAGTCCATGAGCCTCATTGAGATTGGGAACCCCTCTCAGAGTCTGGAGAATGTCTGTCGCTGGGCCTACCTCCAGCAGAAGCCGGACACAGACCACGATGAGTACCACGATCATGCCATCTTCCTTACACGGCAGGACTTCGGGCCCTCCGGCATGCAAGGTTAGTCCTGGGCCGGGGAATGCAGGGAAAGAAGCTGGGGCGTGCAGGGGCTCCCAACAGCTGAAGCCTAGTCTGGAGTGAAGGAGCTGTGGTGACCTTAGCTGCCCGAGTGTCTGGGTTGGTAGTGTCGACCTTCTGGCTCCAGGAAACCACCAAAGCCGGATTCATTTCCCTGACCCCCATCCAACCCCTCAAAAACAAAACAAAACAAACAAACTAACAAACAAAATGAAAAACCACCACTGCCCCGAGGAACAGAGGAAGGTCAGGGATGGTAGGCTACACCAGACAGGGCTTGAGAGCGTGAAGATGAGACCGTGTCCGGAGTCTGGACTTCAGGGCTCAGTTTCTTCCCCTGGCGGCTGAGGTAGGCTACCAATTGATTCTTCACACAAGGTTCAAACGACATAAAACCAACAGACACAAAAGACAAAAAACTGACCAAACTGCGTGGCTGAAGGTGTTAGTAGA